TGCATCTTCGGAAGCGGAGCTGCGCGGAAAGTTACAAAAAATGTCGTGCACACCGAACTTCCGCCAACACCGCGATGACGTCATATTTGCCGCACGCACCTAAGCGAACTTGCGGACGCGTCGAGTATAAATCAGCCTTGAGCGGGAGCATGTGTGTGTGTGTGTGTGTGAGAGAGATACAGTGAAGACAGCGCGTTAGTTTAGAACTCTAATAATTTTTTTTTTATTGTAGAGAGTGTGTTAATTTGTGCAATGATAACCTACCAGCAATGTAAATGATTTTTTAAAATATATTAGAATGAGTACATTACAATATAAATTGATTAGAACAAGTACATTATTATTTATGGGCTTAAAAACAAGATGCAAACAATCAGAATATTGTACCTGGTGGGGAGTGCACAATGTAAACATGAAACATATGCCATTACCTATATTGTACTGTGGTACATTTATGGGGGCCCTTCATAATGCAGAGGTCAACTGCCTGCTCTGCCAATAGTTAGAAATGGCACTATAGTGTGCAGCGTTTAATAAACAGCTGTTTTACTAAATTCTGCTGAGGTGAAAGCCAGTGCAGTCATGTATCGTGATACGCATCGTATCGTGGCCTCTGTATCGTGATATGTATCGTATCGTGACTTTGCTGGTGATACACAGCCCTATTTCATGGTGCTGTTAAGTTCTGATAAACCATCTATTGGCTGAATGGCATGAACCAGGTTATAGTCTGCAAAAATCACCTGCTCTTGTACATCCTCATACTCGGAGTTGAGCAGCTCTATGAAGATGGGCACAGCCCCCATCTCAATGACCACCTTGGTGTGTAGGAAGGTCCCTGAGGCAATGTTGGTCAGGGCCCAGGCAGCTTCAAACTGGTCAAAACAAGCAACAATAGCATCTTAAAGCTTGGCTGCAATGGCAATTTTGCTTTCGCATGGTTTGTGCTATGAAATGTTTTTACCTGCAGAGTCCAGTTATCACTCCTTTTTAGGAATTCAACAAACCGGTTGATGACACCAGGTGTGTGGATGACCTCATCAATGGGAGGATTGGGCTCTGAGGGAAGTTAATAACATCTTAATCTTATCTTTAAACAATTGTCATCCTTGAGTCTATGAGACGTAGGAATAAAGACAACCAACCTTTAGAGAGTAACTTTCTGAACTTCTGAGTGGCTATGAGCTGCTGGTCTGGATTCTCAGAGAAGATCATCTGAATCATGTCTTGGGTTATAACTCCTTCCTGCAGATTGACAATGATTATCCTAGATGTGGTTTTCAAAGGATCATAAAAATTGTATCGAGGTTTCTACAAAAATATTCAGCAGCACAACTGTTTTAAGCATCGATAATAAGAAATGTTTCTTGAGGACCCATTCAACATATTAGAATGATTTCTGAAGGATCATGTGACAGTGAAGATGGGAGTAATATCTGCTGAAAAAAAGTCAGATTTTTTTCATCACAGAAATAAATGATAATGTATAGAAATAAAAAGTTTTAAAATATATAAAAATATGAAACTTATTTTAAACTGTAATATTTCACAATATTGCTGTTTTACTGTATTTTTGATCAAACAAATTCTTTCTTTTGAGAGCATAATTTGTTCATTTATTAATACTTTATATTGATATAATGCTAAAATTCATATTAAATAAATTCTATAGCATGCTTCCGCACTACAAAACATGTACAACTGTGCTAGTTTTACATTTTAAAATGCTATATAGGCAATTCAATATGCTTAAAATGATGCAGGACTAATAACCAAGCCCCATGGCAAAAGTACTTATGCCTGTTATCTGTGAATTTTACTGTCCACTCATCTGTATATCATCTGTTTGACAACAATGACGGATGGTATGCTGACTGGATTACTTACACCTGATACAGGTACAGTGGAGCTGATATCAGGGTCCTGAATGGGGCATTCAAGCATGGACTCATCACCAGATGGCAGACACACATTCCTTCTCTTGAACAGCTGAGGAGAGGGTAGAACAATTTACTTTCGGAAACTTTCGGAAAAAAGTTACTTTTGTACACAAAACTTAATATGAACGAATCCGGTCATATAACCCTCCAAAATATACACTTTTATTCCATAATGTACGATCAACCCTTCATGAACAAAACTGTAATTTTATTTGCTTGAAAAATGATGACAAACCTGCTCCTCCCTCTTCTGTTTACGGAGCTGTATCCCATCCTCCTCTCTCCGTCTCCGCATTTCCTGGGGGTTCAGTGCTTTATTCTTGTAGCTCTTCATTCGATAGTTTTCTTTGCCTGGGCTTGCCATCGCGTCTTCAGCTCAGAGAAAGCAAGTGGAAACAAAGGAATGGTTTATTTGAAAGCAATTATTCTGGTTACTAGCATTTCCTGTGTAACACCACTAAGTGCTAACTGACACTTTGCATGCTGAACTTCCTTCATTATGTGGTTAACGTTTTTGTGGTTCAGCTCATTTTCAGATCAAACACAGTTCAGAACTAAACATTTTAACTCAGCAGCTTTTGTCTGTTATTACCTGTATCTTTGGTTAAAGACTTTTATATTTACAGTATCTTGCACATCATGAAGAGTCTTTTATAGCAAGTTAGTGAATCACCAATACAGAAGCAGAAACATTTAAGCAGAGATGCCCAAGCCAGCAGGCCAAAGTTAGCCCACGATAACATGGGGGAACAAATATGAAAATATAGGGGGAAAAAACATGTCACGCATATATCATAATTTCTAATTTAGTTTTTTGCTTTAATGTTTTATTAGCTTTGCATTGAAATGTAAAGGTAGAGATTTTTAATGTAAATTTTAATATAGCATAGTTGGAAATAAAACATTTAGTTTCAGCCCTCTACCCTCATTTCAGTTTCTTTGTAGTAAAAAGTTTGCTAAACAGATTTTCCAAAACCAATGAGAAGTCATTTTACATTCTTTATTCAGTAGACTACAAAATGAGACGTTATGGGGAAGTCGTGGCCTAATGGGTAGAGAGTCGGACTCATAACCCAAAGGTTGCGGGTTCGAGTCTCGTACCAGCAGGGATTGTAGGTGGGGGGAGTGAATGTACAGCGCTCTCTCCCACCTTCAATACCACGACTGAGGTGCCCTTGAGCAAGGCACCGAACCCCCAACTGCTCCCCGGGCGCCGCAGCAAAAAATGGCTGCCCGCTGCTCCGGGTGTGTGTTCACTGCTGTGTGTGCACTTTGGATGGGATAAATGCAGAGCACTAATTCCGAGTATGGGTCACCATACTTGGCCACATGTCACTTCACTTCACTTCACTTCAAAAGGGCAGTTTGAGTCACCTTTTAGGTTCAATGTATGGAAAAATATGCATTGAAAGTGAATGATGACTGATGCTGTCAGTCCCAACATTCCACAGAAGAAAGAAAAACAACACAGAACAACATGAGGGCGGATAAATGATGACAAAAGTGTCACAAAAAGTGTCATTTTTAGAAGGAACTTTCCCTTTAAGATTCAAAACATACGTCATCTCTAACTTCTAAATACTCCGTTTACACAAATGCAGCACTTATTTATTCACACTGGTGTTTTAATCGGTTCAGCTGGTTTTGTGTGGAATGATGGTGAAGGACTAGACTATTTTCCAAAGACAATTTATCACATACTACATAAATAATCACAGCTCTAAATATACAAGTCTACGCATCTTAATCTTAATTTCTTTATCTTAATTTCTACACAAATTATAATTCATATTTAGTGTGCAATAGCTGGACAGCTGGAACCCAGACCATATGGATCCCAAAATCAAATCAGTTATATAAATCCACTAACAGACTGTACCGTTAGTGGTTTATAATCTCTCAAATCATTCAGTCTTTTCACTTTCATCCTAAACTGTGCTCAGCTTCTCTGTGCTAAAATGCTAACCGTGTTATGCTAGCTTGGACTAAACGTCAAAATAGTTAATTACTGTCAAAGCGCCATGTTGCCTCATTCACTCACTGAAAAGAAAATACTTTTACATCTTAGTTGGTGTATGAATCTCACCCATTAGTCGTAGATCGGAGAGGGAAATACTTGCCGTGGGTTTTTAAATTTCTCTCAAGACCCTCCCGTGTTCTCCAGCTGAGGGCAATATGGCGTCCACTGGTGAAGAACGTCACCTCCGCTGCTGTTTCCGGTATTCAGTTGCGGCCTTATTCAATAATAATAAATGGAAAGTGAAACGGGTTATTGCTCAACTCAACATGTCCTCCTCTTAACAGGTACGTTGCATATAAATGGCGATTTCGATATAGTATCATATTGAATTTTTGTTGTTGTGCATGAAGTCAGTGGAAGAAGACTTTTAGATGTTGTATGTGTAGCAGCGTGAATGTCCAGTGTTCTTTGTTGACAGAATCGAGTCGCTGTCGCGTCGAGACAAGAGCGTCTTGATAAAATCCAGATTTCAAGTTAACTAAGGCTAAATAGCCGCGTCTCAGGGTTTTGCGTTTAGTTGAAACGCGTCCCTTACCACTGTGTACCCAGGTTTACCACGGTTAACAGTGTTTATCAGGTAACATATAATTACTACAAATATTTTTAGTTAAGGCTGGCTGTCGATTAATTGTCACACAAATAAATGCGATTAATGAAATGTATGATTTCCTTCATGGCTTTATAAGCAAACATTACACAGGAGTAGAATTGCATGAATTATAATTATTATGTATAAAAAGTTATTATTTATAATATTTATATTAAAATATATACAAAGGTTTATTTACCCATATTTCAGTTTTTTGTCCACTTCAGTCTTTTCATTCACACTAATGTGTGTTTTGTGTGTGTGTATATATATATATATATATATGTATGTATGTGTATATATGTATATGTGTATATATATATATATATATTACTTATATTAAATATTATTATACAATAGTAATATATGTAGAAAAGTATGATTTCCTTTATGGCTTTTTAAAAAACATTGCAAATAATATGAAATATTAACAAATGTTTGCCATATTTCTCTTTTTGGTCCACTAATGTTTTTTCCCCCAAATATTTTATATAATATAGTAATATCATATCAAGCATGGTTAATATTATATTAAATATTATTGTGTAATATATTTCTGTCATAAATCCTTCACTTTCTATTGTAATTTTAAGGCAGTATGATTAAACCCACAAGCATTCATATCACATTAAGGAATATTAAAATCATTGTGAGAGGTCTGTTGGTACTATTGGTACTAAAATCAGATGAAATTAATATCAGATATCCTTCAAACAGTGTGAGAAGCTTTCAGGGTCATTCTGTCATTTTGATTACCATCATGGTTAATTTGTCCATTTGTTTCATCCAGCCTTGTGACAATGCCTGTGTGTGACATCTGCTGTGAAGAGCTCCCATCTGAGGCAGAGATGAGAACCCATCTCTTCCTGAGTCACATGGAGAATGTGATGGCCTGCCCGTTCTGCTCTTTGTCCGGTGTTTCGTACAACGAGCTGAGGTTCCACATCAACACTGCACACATAGATAAAGACTGCCAGGACACGAAAACAACAGTGGTTGTCAGTGGACAGAAAAACTCAAATGACTGGACTGTTCAAAGTCCCGATTCTACAAAGACTTCCAATGTAAATGTGAAAAATATGGACAAGGTATCTCAAGCCTCACCTCAGTCGCCATCTCAGGTAAACGGGATGGCCTTCCCGATTACAGGGACCTGTCTTTCTCAGGGAACCTCGACTAGTCTGAAGAGTTCACCACCTGCAGCAGCCACAGCGAGTGGTGCAATAAAACTCGTCAGAACTACACCAACATCCAGCAACAATGCAAGCAGGGAGAGGGAAGATGGGCGCCGAAAATCAAAGCAGAAGCGCTTGGCCTCACCTATTAAAGGTGCTCTTAACTTTACAACATAAAACTGATTTAAATTAAGCCGTTAGACTAATATTTTCTCTTTGTGTATTTCAGAAGGATGCTTTTCATGTCCTATGTGCAGTTTGGTCTGCAAAGATTGCTTTATTCTGCAGGAGCATGTTGAGCTTCATCTACAGGACCAAGATGCAGCTGAAGGTGTCTTACCTCAAAACATAAATATCACTGTTGCAAGTATATATGTATGTTTACAAGTGTTTATTTTACACTCTTTTTATCACCAGCTGTCTATGATTGATGTCTGATATGGTTTGTCCTCTTAAGGGGCTGGTTCTGAGGCTGGCACTTCAACAGAAGCATCTTCTACAAGCAATGGTAGATCAGGTCAGTTAGCAAGGTGGTCGATTTGGCCGTTCTGAGTAAGTGAATGGGCCAAACTAATCTATACCTGTATTTTTGGGATCTCCAGCTGTGATGAACTATGAGTGTCCAATGTGTTCTCTGAGCTGTTCCAGCAGCTCCTCCCTTCAAGAGCATGTTGAGCTACACCTGGAATATGGCTCAGCATCTGCAACAGGTATGTGTATATTATTAAGTATGCAACTGCATATGAGCTTTTTTCTAGAATTGTTTGTTAGGTACATTTCAATGTAGAAATCAAGATGTTCTGTGGGTTCTGTTTACAAGTACAGTGCATCAAGACAATAAAAATTAATCAACGTGAAATCTGTTGTAGCTATTGGCGCAACAAAACTTGTGGTTTCTTAAAACATCTGATTTTACATTCATTTGGTTTGGGTGTTTTGAGGACATTCATCTGAAGACCTGACTCTGGCCAGGAAGCTTCAGGAGGAAGAGGAGCAAAAGTGGAGGGAGGCTGAGACTAGACGGGAAGCAGAGGACTTTAAGAAGCTCCAGGTTAGCTAAAGAAAATGTCATTGTGAGATTTCAAAACAATGTTCACCTAAAAGGTGAAAATTGTCATTATTTACTCACCCTTGTGTCAAACCACTACAAAAAGTTATTTCATTACTCTTCGCTACTCTATTCAGAAGCAGTTTGGGCTTGATAACAGTGGTGGTTATCGCAAGCAAATGGAGAGGAATATGGAGAGGGCTGTGTCTCGAGGTCAGATGGTTCCTGCAGAGTTCCACAGGAAAAAAGCGGAGATGCTTGAATCTCTGGCCTCTGGGGTGGATGATGGCAGAAGCAAAACATCAGGTCTGATTGAGAGTGCATCATAGAGCTACACCAATTATCTTTACATATTTGGTCCAACTGGTGAATTATTAGACTGAAAATCTGTTCAGTTATTTTCTTAATCTTATTGTCAATGTTGAAAACAGTTGTGCTTAATATTTTGTATACATTTTTATAATTGAATTATTTGATAGATAATAATAAAAATTAATAGATACTTTTTTGTAACTTTTATAAATGTTTTTACAGTCACTTTTGATCAGTTTAATGTGTCCTTGCTGAATAAAGGTATTAATTTCTTTGAAAAACAAATCTCACTGACCCAAACATTTGAACTGTAGTGTGTGTATATATTTTTAATTAATATATACTTAATTATACATTATATTTTAATGGGTTTAATACTATGAATTAATAATGTATAATAGTAATTAAAAATAATGTATTATTATTATTATTATTATTATTAGGATTTTAATTATATACAGTGGCATGCGAAAATTTGGGAACCCCTTGCAGAATCTGTGAAAATGTGAATAATTTTAACAAAATTAGAGAGATCATACAAAATGCATGTTATTTTTTATTTAGTACTGTCCTGAGTAAGATATTTTACATAAAAGATGTTTACATATTGTCCACAAGACACAAAAATAGCTGAAATTATTAAAATAACCCCCTTCAAAAGTTTGGGAACTCTTGGTTCTTAATACTGTGTGTGGTTACCTGGATGATCTACAACTGTTTTTTGTTTTGTGATGGTTGTCCATGAGTCCCTTGTTTGTTCTGAACAGTTAAACTGAGCACTGTTCTTCAGAAAAATCCTCCATGTCCTACAGATTCTTTAGTTTTCCAGCATCTTTTGCATTTTTGAACCCCTTCCAAAAGTGAGTGTATGATTTTGAGATCCATCTTTTCACACTGAGGACAATTGAGGGACTCAAACACAACTATTAAAAAAGGTTCAAACATTCACTGATGCTCCAGAAGGAAACACGATACATTAAGAGCCGGGGGTGAAAACTTTTGAACAGAATGAAGATGTCCAATATTTTTTTATTTTGTTGAAATATCTTTTTTTTTTTCCATTTAGTACTGCCCTTCGGAAGCAACAGAAGATACTTGCATGTTTACCGGAAGACAAATTATAAGTACAATTTACCTTGATCTTCAAATTCAAAGTTTTCACCCCCTGGCTCTTAATGCATGGTTTTTCCTTCTGGAGCATCAGTGAATGTTTGAACCTTTTTTAATAGTTGTATTTGAGTCCCTCAGTTGTCCTCAGTGTGAAAAGATGGATCTCAAGATCATACAGTCACTGCTGGAAGGGGTTCAAATATGCAAAAGATGCTGGAAAACTGAAGAATCTGCAGTACATGGATGCTTTTTCTGAGGAACAGTGCTCAGTTTAACTGTTCAGAACAAACAAGGGACTCATGAACAACCATCACAAAATTAAAAAAAACAGTCGTAGATCATCCAGGTAACCACACACAGTATTAAGAACCAAGGGTTCCCAAACTTTTGAAGGGGGTTATTTAAAAAATTTCAGCTATTTTTTGTGTATTGTGGACTATATGTAAACATCTTTTATGTAAAATATCTTACTCAGGACAGTACTAAATAAAAATAACATGCATTTTGTATGATCTCTCTTATTTTGTTAAAAATAATTCAAATTTTCACAGATTCTGCAAGGGGTTCCTAAACTTTCGCATGCCACTGTAACTGTTACTTTTTAAATGATGCAAAAAAAAACAAAACTGTAGTAAATGAAAATAAATAAAACAGCTCAAGGCTTAAACGTAACCTTTCTGTTTCAGGACTTATGGAAGCTCTCTATAGGTACTATCAGAAGGATGCCTCTGACTGTGCACATGTGTGGCTCTGTGCTGAGACTGATCACTACTCTTCATCGGAGGGGGACAAAAGTTGGGGATGTGGCTACAGAAACTTTCAGATGCTTCTTTCATCTTTGCACAGGATGGAGCAGTATAACCTTTTACCTGGTATAATATCAGTTACATCATGTTATTCTCTTGGCTCCATGTTGATTTTCCTTGTAATAGTACCCATCATAAAATTTCCCCTCACAGTTTCAGTTCCCAGCATTCCGAGAGTGCAGGCCTTAATCGAAGAGGCGTGGGGTCAAGGTACAGATCCTCAGGGTGCTTCACACTTCAACCATCGACTGAAGGGGACACGGGCTTGGATAGGAGCTACAGAAATCTATGCAGTTCTCACCTCCTTTAGTGTGAAGTACGCATTGAAACCCCAAGTTTACATTTACACACACACTACCGTTCAAAAGTTTGGGGTCAGAAATATTTGTATTTTTCCTATTTTGAAAGAAATTAATATTTTTATTCAGAACTGTCCATTAAATAATTCAAAAGTGACAGTAAAGACTACTATATAATATAATATATATATATATATATATATATATATATACACAAAAAAAAAAAAAAA